AAGTTTTCGCGTCACTCAGACGGCGGTGGATTGTAAGCGAAGTTACTCTATTTTTTCCCTCTTGGATTGCTTGGCATCACTGGTTACGCGTGTCATCATTGCACAGCATAAGCCCTGTCCCTTCATTTGTGGCTCCGCTATGCCTGGCTCGTGGTGGCTCTGATTCGCATGTAGTTACGTCTGTTGGTTTCTTGCTTGGTACATGTACATCAACCTTTAGTGAAATAAGCTTCTCACGCCTTCCCTGCTTCTCATTTCAATCTTTTGCTGGTTTTCAATTTTCTTTATAAACCAAAAAATTTCTTTCCGGATACTTCTTTAAATGTATATGACTTTTTGGACTGAAACAACTTTTTCTGGCTTTAAATTTTTGCTTTGACCTTTTGCTACTTCTTTCAAAATATTTCCTTTTTTTTCAAAATTAATTTAAAATTTAATTTGTAAATGTTCAAATTTTACGAACCTTGTATACGACAGCAAATAAATTACGCTCTTCGTCCGTTAGATTTTTACCATACATAGCATACAACGCCCGTAAATGTTCCGTTGCATCATCGTATAGCCGAGCCTTAACAGAGTCTAGTTTTCTATTAATTTTCTTCCAAATTTGGCGAATCTGGCACCGGCACATTCAGAAAGAATACGCAGTGAAGGTGATTCTTCTCCTTATTGGGTTTTTATCAGCAAAAAAGACAAATTCCCTCCTTATTTACCCCTTATGAGGCAAAGAAGCCCACTAGGATCACAAGCCAGCAGTGCTAGCCCAGCCGCAAAGTTCGATTAGTCCCTCTTCCGATGGCTGCTTAGGAGCTGGCAGTGATGACTGCTTAACATTTGCCAGTACCAATTTAAAACAAATGAATGTATTGCAGAGGGGTTGGTTTTCTACTGGCAAAGCTGACCGCTCCGCTTTTAAATTGAGATCAGTGCTACTTGCAACTACAGTACGTCTACCAACTGTACTTGGGGATTAAATAATAATTAATGACGAGGCAAAAAAACAATGACACGCAAAAACAGAAAATATGTTGTTACTTGAGGGAAATTCGCCGTGTTTTATGATCTTTTGGCCTATTTGATGCTTATGTACTGTTGAAATTGTATATTTACTAACTGCTTTATCCTGATGCCATAAAGCATCGTCAGGCGCTGACGAGAAATCTTTATTCAACAGACAGTGAAATGTGATCATATTTTTCGTGTCCTCTTCATCAGCCCTATGCTGAAGGCAATGACATACGGATGTGAAATGCTTTCTCACTTGAAAATTGAGGTGCAAACTCTGTTTGCTTACAGGGAGGTGATAAAATGAAAGACGTTGTAGCATCTCTCCACGACCATATAAACAGTCAGATTTCCCGCCAAGTGAGTTCGTGCGGGATATTATTGCATCTACACAAGGAAATAAAATTCGATGGATGAGGAATGTTGCTCGCCTTGTCGAAAACCGGTGGAAAGTGCGCATTAGTGACTGATGCCCACGGGGATGTAAGCTACCACTCGCACGTCCAGAAAGGTGGGGACGCACACGCATTGAGTAGACGGTGGTTACTAATTGGAGGTAAGCAATTCAGGATCGAAGCATGACTGCATTCGTCGTGTAGGGGCGCCTCAGTTGCGCCTAACAGGAGATCCTTAAACTGACAGTAAGAACGGTCTTGGTATTTCGTGTCATTCTTTACCTTTACATTATTTGATGAATTAAAAGACTGATAGCTTTAAAAGATTACAGGCTGGTAGCTTTCCGTAGAAATTATATAACGTGAACCTAAGTATGGAGTAATTTGTTCCCATTGTTATCTTTGGGCCTCCGCGGAACAAAAAGAAAGCGAAAACAGAAGGCTTTTCCTGAGCGAAAACTTAAAATCCCTTTCATATCCGTCCCTTGCAAAAGGCGGAGACAATCGGGATCGACTTGTAGCAAGTGTAACTGCAGTCATTCTCTTCCAGGGCTGTCGGTGCTCCTTGTTACGACGCTGATGCAAACTGATGTCCTCTCTGTCTTCCTCACGTGTGCCAGCAGCAGTCTGACATGGAAATGAATAATAGGACGTGGAGGAGTTGTTTATTTCACTGGAGAAGTAAGACCCTTGGCTTATGCTAAGAACCTCAATTTATTCGGTGAATACTACTCTCTTACACGATTTATACGTCAATCCAATTTAAAACTGACGTGATAGATCAAAAAACAAAAAAAGTCGGCGACGAAGCTCTAATTTATTATATAGTGAGCTTACCTCGGATTTTCAGCTTTCGCAGTTTTAGAGTACGTATTTCGACAATTTTAGAGTACACCCGATAGCCAGTGTGGTTGGACTTTTTGTACAGTGTTGCTGGAAAAATGCTAAAAACTTCCTGCCCAGACTTACAGGCATCTGCCCGTGAGACGTAGGCACACATGAAAGCTTAAATGCAAACTTTTGAGTTGCAAATGAAAATCATTGGTGACGCACACCTGGCGGGCCCGTGCGATCACGCGTTTTTGCAATATTTCGTGCTGTAATGGGATTGCTCGGAAATCTACTAGCTAGGATTTGTGACATACCGATCCTTGAAGATCGGGAAGTTAATTGTCCACACGGTACTTGGACAAGGAATATTCGGTTAAAATTTTAGCTTTCCAATTTTAGCCTTTCAATTTTCGAATCAACAATTTTCCTGCCAATAAAAATTTCATGGGTCTGTGTATGGTAACCACATATACCTGGGAGATGAATTTGACATCTTTAACTTTTTGGGGGCTGGGAACATGACCCAAAAATTTTAGCCCCAGTTTCCCCATTTCTAGATCTTGCCATTTTTCCACCAGAAAATTTTACGGGGCCGTAAGTGAGAACTACGCACGCCTGGAGACTGAATCTGATAAATTTTTGTTACATATGCGCTAGGAACATTCCCTGAACACTTCAGCTCCCAGCTTTCCTAGTTTCCGAATTAGCTATTCTCCTGTCAAAAAATTTCAGTAGGCGGTACATGAGAATTACGTACACCGAGGAGCTGAATTCGATAACTTTAAGTTGTACGTGTGCTGGGAACATTCCCTGAAAATTTCATCCCCGTAGTTAGCCATTTTTCCGTCAAAAAATTTCATGGGGCCGTACTGGAGAACCACGCATGCCTCGGGCTCAGTGACTTTAAGTTGTACATGCGCTGAGGGCATTCCCTGAAGATCTCATCCTCGCAAATTTCCTGGTTCCCAAGTTAGCGATTTTCACGCCAAGAACCCTCACGGGGGCATGCACGAGTACCACGCACAACTGGCGGCTAAATTTGAAATTTTTGAGTATTATGAGGACGGAGAACATACCCTTAAAATCTCAGCTTTCTGGCTTTTCTGGTTCCCGAGTTAGTGGTTTTCTCGCCAAAACTTTCATTCTCTCATATACGACGCCCAGGCTTGCGTGAAGGTTAGTGCCGCGGTCCTGGAGTGGCACTTAGTCGGGGAACCCACCGGCATAATTTTGGCGCCGGAGCTTACTTGGGTGCCGAGTTCAAATACCCGGACAGAGAGACACACGCACGTACACGTACACGCAAGTACGCACATGTGCACGCAAGCACACACATGTACACGCACGCACATGTACACACAAACACACACACACACGCACGCGAGGGGGTCGTCACAGTATGCGTTTTTGCATTTGCATATAAGCAAAAACGCATAAAAATCCTCTCGAAATTTCATTATCTTGTCCGGTTCCACAACTAGGAAGCTCCATTTTGAAGTTTCCACGTGCCTGTACGTGGGGCACAGTCTTAGTGGAAGCAAAGTTTGGTTTCCAAAAGTCGCACATTGGCGGGAAACGTCTTCTTAAACCTTTTTATCTTCTTTGGTTTCTGAGCTAGAAGATATAAACTTTCCCAAGCAAGATTTCACGTATCTCCGCAAGAAACATAAGCGTACGTGGAGATGAGTTTAAATTTCCGGGGCATAAACATCCTCGTAAATGCGACAAAAAAAAAAAAAAATCCGCGTCTTGCGTTGTGTAACAGTGGTACAAAACATGTATTGTCATGCCTTTGTCTGTGCAAACGTATGCTTGTGTGTTATATGTGTGTGTGTGTGTCTCCGAGTGTATTGTGTCCATTACTTTCAATTCGAGAACCAAAAAAAGCAAGAGGCTGATACAGAATGTTCCCCGCCCAACTACGGTCTGGCAAATTTAAATTCAGCCTTCCCCTGTACCGTGGTATCGTCCACAGCGCCATGAAAGTCCCAGCGGGAAAAATCACTAGCCCGGAAGTTAAAAGTTATGCACGTCTGGACGGAACTGCGCAATGTGCATGATCGCATCGGCTGCCCTCGTGCCCCTTTTATTTATTTGTCTTGTTTGGCTTCTGAGTTTGATAATTTTCCGCTAAAACTCGTAATCTCTTGTACTTAACACTCAGAAGTGCATGAAAACTGAATTTAAATTTGCATTGTTGCAAATGGGCGGGAAAATCTTTCAAAAATTACACTTTCTGGCTTTTCTGGTTCCTGTAATGAAAATTTTAATCTGAACAAACAGATTTATGCATGCAGGGACTGATCGAGGGCGACCTCTTATAGGGACAACGAGCGGGAGGAGGAAGTGGGCTTATTGGTGTGGCGACGACCTGGGGGAGGCGGGGGAGGGGAGAGGAGGAGAGGTGAGGGACGTGAGGCGTCTCTTGGGCGAAGGGAAGGGGGAAGGAGGTGGGGGCGACAGGGGTGCGGAAGTGAGTTTTCTACAGTTTTGGCGCTGCTAACTGTGCCGCTGGTGGAGACGGGAGTCCGGAGGGAGGGGACCGAAGGACCTATGCATGCATAAGATTTCAGAAAATGCACCTCTGCTGCAGCACAAAATACTTAAAAATGAACATATGCACTGAAGCATTACCACAGAAATTAATGAGAATCAGAAAAGTCTTACCGCTCTGGCTAACTTTATTCGAGCACACAGCTCTTCACTTTCTGTTGCAGCTGCAGCCGGCATGCCGAATCGTGAATGAAAGAATAGCTAGCCACGACACCTGATAAAAGCTATTTTATATTCAAATTAGTTTGGAAGCCACTGGGAACCACATTTTAAAAGTTGGATTTTTTTTTTCCCAAAACACTATAGCAAAATGCAGGCAAAGAGTGCCTAGCCCCAGTGTGACAAACCTAAGACATCCGAGTGCCCTAGCCGACCGCTTCCTCAAAACATCTCTTGCACCACTAAGAATCTCTTTGGGAAATGCCAGTCATGGAGCAATGTTTTGCTCTGTTGTAATGGCGGCAAAAAATGGCGGCTTCAGATAATATATGGTCAAACAAGCAGGGCGTGCATAGTTTCTTGGTCAGTACTTCACCAGTTACGACTTTCGTCAGTCCATAAATTTGTGGTTATCGGAGTCATGAAGTCTGTGGTGCGTCTGCGAGCTATCAGAGTAGAAAGGGTGTTTGGGCGCCAAAAAAGGTCTGCAAGAATCTGCGATAAAGTTCCTTAAAATATGGCCAGATTCGTTTACAATGATGCTTCATATGTTGAATTTGTAGTGCAGCCTGCAAAAACTTGATGGAAATCCTCAAATTAAAACACAATATTACAAAGTTAAAGCATTCCTTTCAGTTATTAGAAATTTTTGGAATAGGAAAGTACGGGGAAGGCGCCTGCAAATATAATACAAGAGCCGGAGAAGCTGCAGACTACTAAAACGCAACTCCAAACGCCATCACATCTTCGCAGTCTAACAACAAAACTTCAAAAATCGGGTTAAATTGAAGTGTTAGTGCAGAGCAGCCAAAGAGCGTAGCTGAAGGCTTCGGTCAGTCATCATGGGCAAAATATAAGAGAGATACTATTGATACTTCTATGAAAAATGTGAAATGTGCGAGAAATGTATGAAATTATATAAAATTGTATTGAGAAATTTGATGAATAGGAATGTTTAAATGAGCAAAACTTTAAAAAGTGTTAAGTGTCTGAAAATAAGTAGATTTTGCACCAAAGGCAAGTATGTCAGAGGCTAAGAAAATCAGCACTTTTTAAAAATTTTACAGTCGCATAAGAAACGCTGTTTAGATTTAATCATTCGCTCGTTGAGAATCCTCCGCGCAGCTACTTTTCTAGGGTGATGGACATACTCGTAGAGTGGAAGTGGACTCACCATGCTCAGCTTTGCCGTCCACTTCCTTGAACGTTTTATTTTTTTTTTTTTTT